GCACATTAAGATTTATGAACTCAACCAACAAATGAATCTTTGTGTCCTTAATTGAATATTGAAAGTCTTGAAAGTAGAATTTGAACTATGTACAACTTAAGGAGTTTACTTTGTAATTGGCATGAATTCCTCTTGTGGAATGAGTGTGAACTCACCTTCTTCTAATTCTTATGTTAATCTCTATCTCTTCACTCTTTTCTCCCTCCTCTTACTTTCTTTAATAGTTGGCATTAAGAATTAATTATAAATTCTCATGACATATTTACTTTCATCAATGTGTTCAACCTGGTTTTACCACTAAATTAATTTAATCATCTTAAGTGGAATTAATTTTATAAATCTTAAATTTGGTGCATCTTATCACAATAACAAAATTGTGCATCAATGTTAATTGAGTTTGGTCTTTTAGATTTTTGGACCTAATGGAGGCCAATAGATTCCTTTGTGTTCAGCTATTAGTTTATTAGGAGGATGGTGAAATCAAAGAGAGTGATCCATAGATACAAAAGTAAGCAAAGTAAGCCAAATGACCATAAAATTTGGTGTTTCCTTTTTAAAATATCTTGAGACTACTTAGTGAGTTGACTCACCTATTATAAATAAATAAATAAATAAATATATTTCCTATGTTATTTTTTGCATCTCTTGTAACACTTGCAAAAGGACTATTTTACCTCGCATTCTTGATTCTTTCTTAGCCTTTCAATTCGAATTAGACTAATGTAAAATTACACAAGAAGGTACATCTCAAGTCAAACATTGAATGGTTGCCCTAACATTTGAAAACAAATAATTGCACCAATTGACTTGATTTTTTTCACTATTTTTCTTTGTGTATATTTTCCAAGCAACCAAAAAGAGTTTATGAAACAAATCTTTCACCACTTTCTCTAAATGAATTTTTTTAGAATTAATTAATAACCTTTATTAAATTACTAAATTCTTGGTTTAAGTTTTAGCAAACTACATTTACCTTTAAAAGAAGATAGCTTAGAATTTGGTTTACCTCATAAGTTTGTGAAACTAAACTAGACTACAATGGATTTCAATTACTATAAGAATTCAGTAGCTAAAATCTTTGATATATGAATTATTGAGATAAATAAAAAAGTAATTTCTAATATATGAAAAGTACCAAAGTACTATACATTCAAACTAGATAATGGACTCATCAAACACATTCATTGTATCCAATTTACTCAATAATTGTATTTATGGTACACTTTTAAGATAAAATCAAAGAAATTAATATTCCCTTAAATATGACTCTTCGAGTCAATTTGTGCAAAAAATAAATTCATATCAAGAGAAATAATGTTTAGTCAATACTAGAGAGACCGTAAGACCATGAAAAGATAAGGTCTGCATAAATATTAACAAATAACTACAATCAAAGTAGAACTATAATTGAAAATTAATCATATTTAAAAACCTATAGTTTGAAATAAGAACTGGATTATCATAGATTTTTTATTATGTATAGTGGTCCAAAGCCTTTTGTCTCTCGCTTTCCCTTTATCTTTTTTAAACACTTTAATATATATCAAATATAAAAATATATAAAAATAAGAAATTTCTATGCAAAAAGTGCTTTCAAGATCCAAATAATCCAAGTACCATCTTATTGATATCTCAATGCCAAAATTATATATTTTTTAAAACGCAATGCTTGAGATGAATGAATTGAATATCTAATATTCTTCCTTGGATTTCAAATTAAAACATAACACAAATATTTTTTGGTACCTGACTAAATATATTAATACATTATGTAATAAGCTATAAAGGAAAATTCTAGTTCCATTATAGCTTGAATAGAGTGATCAAATGAACTTAGTGTTAAAAATAAACTAAAAATGTACAAAGCTTTCTTTTAAGCTATGATATGTCATTTTTGATATATAATACTTTAAAAACTTGACAATAGGTATTTAGTACCTTTGATCGAAAAAAATTAATTTAAATGTAATGAAAATAATCTTTTAAAATAATGTATACACAACTTAATTTTAAGTAGCATATCCTAAGGATGATGTTAGGTCCCCAATGGGCCTAACAGGCCTCACTTACAGTAGAAGAAAGCAAGAGCATTATTAGACCCAAAGGAACCTAACGGGCCAAACTTAATGTCATTGAAAAGAAGGGCTTCCTTAAGTAATTTTGAGTGATGGAGTTGGAGCAAATATGAAGAGGTCTCTCAATGACATGAGGCAATGGACACGAAGACAATTAGAGGTCAAGAGTGGTGGTCCTCTTAAATGGTTACTACAGATCTGAAGACAGCCTAATTTCTATTCTTAGGATTCTTGTTTTCTCCCTTACAATTGTGTCTCTATCAAACCAACATTCTAAATTAAGGTCGTACTCTGATGTTTATTCTCACAATTACATAATTGATAGAGAAAGTATTGATAAATGATGTCTATGCCAATAAAACACGATCCTCTAGAAAATATTCAATACCTAAATGTGGTTGAATAGATTTCAACTCTACTTTTTATGGATTTTTAACTTCAATATTTTTGGCAATACTTGATCATCTTCCTATTTTAATTACAATATTTTTTATAAATAAATTCAAAAATCCTAAAATGAGACATTTTTAAGAAAAATCATTTTTAAGAGATGGCAAGGCAACGTGTGATGTTCCTTTGAAATTTTGTTTGAAGGTATCTCTCTTAATATTTACTATCATTTATAAGTACATAGAAAAAATCTATTAGTCTACACTTAACATCATTAGATTTGTCGCTCTAGTTAGTTAATCTTAATACATGGTGCTAGCTCATTGACCTGGATTCATGCCTTTAGATATGACCCATGTGAGAAAATATCTATCTCTATCTCTCTCTCTCTCTCTCTCCCCCTTCTTTGCCCCTTTCTCATCTTCCTTGTCTATATCTACTTGTAAAGATTAAGCTTGAATTTTACTGGTGTGTAATGAATTGAGCTAATTATGTCTAATAATTCCCTATTTTTTGTACAAAAACTAGAGACAACGAAAGACAATTTTAAGATGGAATGAAAGCATTAATCACTACATACAGGAAGAGGAATTTGGTGTTTTCTACATAAAGTGAGAAAAATAATGTTGGTCCCAGAAGAGAAAAATAAGAAACAAGAAAGATTCTAACTCAGTCTTGTCATAGGTCATGCACAGATGGTCTAACTAATTTTGTCTATATATTGAGCCAACTTTTTATGATATACTAGTTTGGGTTAGTTGACTATTATTTAGAAAAAAATAACACATAAGGCTATCGGTATGATCTAGCTCTCCCCTTATTCTTGTTTAAAAGTATCTCTATTAATATTTACTACCCTTACACATACTTAGAAAAAATCTATTAGTTTACACATACCATTAGATTCATCGATTTAGTTAGCTAATCTTAATACATGCTGTTGACTTAGATTCATGCCTCTAGATATGACCCATGTGTGGAAATAAGTCTCTATTATCATAAGTTAGTGGCTAGTTTAATAATATATTTTATTTATTAAGTTATGATAATAGAAACTAATAAATTAGCACATGGGCCATATCTAGAGGCATGAATCTAAGTCAGTGAACTAGCACCATGTATTAAGGTTAACTAACTAGAGCAATGAATCTAATATAATTCAAGCTTAATCTTTACAAGTAGATATAGACAAGGAAGATGAGAAAGGGGCAAAGAGGGAGGGAGAGGGAGAGAGAGAGACATAGAGAGATAGAGAGATGGAGAGACAAAGAGACAAAGAGACAAAGAGTTCTTATAACCTTGGCAATATTCTTATGCATGAAAATATTAGTGAAAAAATCTTTCATTTGATTATAATATTATTCTTCTCATAAGTTAAGAGAGTGGATTATACATCAGTCTAGGTTAGCATGCCTAATATTTTATTTATAGGCCAAACTAGCTATAAGCCCAATGAATTTTAAGATATTTATATAATTTTTAAAATATTATCTATCACATTAGCATAAAGATTTGATGTACCCTTATTAGCATAGTTTACTTTCTAGTCTCATGATGCTCTATACTACATAAATTAGGGGTCTTATTGAAGATTTTCATTCTTCTTTTCTAAAAGGTGTATCTTACTCCCTAAAACATAAAAACTATCATGGAAAAATAACATTTCATAAAAATAACTCAGAGTCCCAATTTTATAGTAACTTATCCTAATCAACCTATTCAATTCCATGTACCTCTCCTTAGGCATTCTACTTAGTTTCCTCTTAAGTATTATATGATGGCTCATCCAATTTATTGATTAGATAGGCTGTCCTCAATATCAAGCATAAAGACAAAGTAAAAATGAAAAAACTTATAAAAATATATAGTGGAAGTTAAGAATAACTCATAGGGCCCACTTATCTTGTACTTTCATGGAACTTTTATGAGTTAAAATTTCAAAAAGATTTCTCTTCAATGGTTTTTATTTCAGCTTTTTTGTTGTGTTTGGACACAAAGGTCATCAATATCTTATAATTCTTAAGATGCTCTCATGGAGTGTAGACATTTTAGTCTACCAATCATTCTAAGTCGAAATATATTTTGTATTTAATTTATAAATAAATATTTTATGAAATATTCATTTTAATATTGTTATGAAGAAAAAATATCGGAATATATTAGCAGCGTATATCTGTAAAGAAGACAACACAATTAAAGTACATAAGTAATTATAATTTTAAGGATTCTTTCTAAAATTTTGAACATTTACAAGGATAGATCTTTAGGATACAACAATGTCTGGCAGATGCGCTGTCCACGTGTAAGACAGTCAGGTGGGAGAGAGGATGGAGAGAACGATCCCATTGGCTCGAAATCTATCCAACCGTGGATCTTAGATTTCCTCACGATCTCTGATCTCGTGGGATCCACTTTCCCTTCCCTCCCCACCCGACATATACCAAAACTTCTACGCTCTTTCTTCTTCACAGCCAAACGAGACCAGTATCTCCCCAATCTCTAGAAACTCCAATCCTCGGAGAGAAGGCAGCGGGAATGGCGGCGACGTCTCCAGCAGTCGTCCAGGGCCTCGGCACCCCTTTCCTCTCCGGAGGTAGGAGCAGCCGCGCCCTCCTCTCCGCCGCCATCGTCGGAGGCAGTCGGGGCGCCGCCGCGGTCGCCCCCCGGAGGCTCGTCGTGGCTGCTGTTGCGCAGAAGAAGTCCTGGATTCCTGGTGTCAAGGCCGGTGGCAACTTGGTCGACCCTGAATGGCTTGACGGATCGTAAGTTCACCATCGTCTTCTTTATCGTCTTCTTTATCGTCTTCATCATCTCGTCCTACGACTGATACTAACTGTTTGGCTGTGGATGAATGAATGCTAGTCTCCCCGGCGACTATGGTTTCGACCCGTTGGGCCTGGGCAAGGACCCCGCGTTCCTCAAGTGGTACAGAGAAGCGGAGCTGATCCACGGCCGGTGGGCGATGGCAGCCGTGGTCGGCATCTTCGTCGGCCAGGCCTGGAGCGGCATCCCATGGTTCGAGGCCGGCGCCGACCCAGGCGCCATCGCCCCCTTCTCCTTCGGGACCCTCCTCGGCACGCAGCTGCTACTGATGGGTTGGGTAGAGAGCAAGCGGTGGGTCGACTTCTTCAATCCCGACTCCCAGTCGGTGGAGTGGGCCACTCCCTGGTCTCGCACCGCCGGCAACTTCGCTAACGCCACCGGCGAGCAGGGCTACCCCGGCGGCAAGTTCTTCGATCCTCTCTCCTTCGCCGGCACCCTCCAGGACGGCGTCTACATTCCCGACGTGGACAAGCTGGAGAGGCTCAAGCTGGCGGAGATCAAGCATGCCCGCCTCGCCATGCTGGCCATGCTCATATTCTACTTTGAGGCCGGCCAGGGGAAGACCCCACTCGGCGCCCTCGGGTTGTAGAGAGAGGGATGCGCGTTGTAGAGTTTCACCTACTGAACTGATGATATCATTCAAATTTGTTCCGCGTCTTCAAAAGATAGGCCCTCAGCTGGCTACTGTGTGGCTCGTGATAGAGCGTGCGAGAACACCCTTTTGCAGTAACTCTTATGTATATGAGAATGGACTGTCTACTGCAGCTGTGAAGTAAAGATCGGTGCCCATATGAGAAATGTGGGCGTCTTTTCCGGGTCAAAATGGCTGCTTTGGAATGATTCTTAAATTTGCATCAGAAAATTATTTTTTATCGTTAAAATTCATCAACGAATCCGAGGTTTACTAGCTCCGCTGCTGCATCAGCGATGCCCAGTATTCAGGTTCCGAGGAAAAGCGGATGATTGTGGGTTGTTCTCTGGTGACCCATCTGCTACAAGGGGTAGACAGCCAATTACCATACTAGTCTGAGATGGGAACAAAGTAATGTAGGGGGCTTGGAGAATAGATAGGGCTAGATCATATGAGATTGGCACCACGCGGGTACAGAACAATGCCCTTAATGACGCTCCAATTTTCAGCATTGGGAGTTCTGAGGCGTAGAAATACCCTGTTTGAAAAGCAAGAGATATCCAGGCTAGTTGAAGTTAGCTACAAGGCGCACTGTGGTATTAGGCGACCTTTGGTAAACGTTTGTGCGGGAGTTAGATAGTTCAGATATGGAAGTGGAGATAAATAAAACACGGTACACGCTAAAGAATGGAAGAGGAAATATTTTGGGTGATGATAATGTCTTCTCATAAGTAAATAGATAGCAATGGATCTTAGGGGTTTAAGTTATTTTTTAAAACGACTTTCTGGGGTTGTTTAAAGCCATAAATATTTTGGATAGTAAACTCATATTTAGATTGAGGTTGAAAGCAGAAAACGTTCTCATAAAGATCCCCATGAGTAATAAGGATTTTTGAAATAGAGCTGTATTAAAGGCAGCTAGTATAGAAGGCATATTTTTCATTACCACAATCTCAGAAATGGCAATATTTGGTGAATGATATATGCATTTGACTAGATCCATCAATGGAGTGTTTGACACAATGTGAATTCATCAAGTTGGTAATAATGTCAACAATTGTAATTGGTCTGTTGACAACCCATAGATAAGTTTTGGAAATTAGACTATAGGAAACAAAAAAATAAAAAATTAAAAGGAGAAAATCAAATCATAGATAAGTTTTGGCTATGGTTTTCCTATCTTTTGCTTGAGGGCACATTCAAGACTAATAAAGAAGAAAATCCTAGTTTTGAAGCACTTCTCTCTCTCTCTTTCTCTCTCTCTCTCTCTCCTCACTCACTCTACATATCTATCTATTTTTATCTCAATTGCATAATTAGACTTTAATTTTTCATATTTTTGAAGTTAATGAAATAATAAAACAAGCTAAACACCAAAAGCAATAGTGAGCATGGATCTTAGAGAATAGAACATGGATTTTTCATATGTTTAATGTTTTTGATGATGTGATGGCTAATTTGGATAATAGAACATGAATTCTTAGAGATTGAGAGCAATACTGAAAAACATTACTAGAAAAATTTCATATTAATCAAACAAACTAAAAACCAAAAGCCTGAATTATACATGATTGATTACATTGAATGGATGTATTGGTGTCTAATACTTCTGTTTCAGAATCAGCACCAAGGCACATCTTGATTAAGACCATAGGCTCGGTCTTTTAACACAAGACCAATAAGTCCTAAAAGCTTGGTCCTTCTAAAGACTGGTTCAGCCCATATATCAACTAGTCAATAAAGGCTAAACACTAGCATGGCCCACACCATTAGCTAGCCATTAAAGGCCCAAAGTGTAGCAAGGCTCAACATTAAGTAGTGGTTAAACAAAATGGCTCAACCCACAAAGCCCTATGACAAAGCAAAACTTCTCATCTAGAATTAGGGTAAAGATAGAATCAAAAAAATCAAAGAGAGAGACCTCTCCATACCTCATCCTCCTCTTCTGTCTCAAATTCAGCAAGCTTAGATACTCATGAGTGTGAATCTTAGCAAAAAATCGCCTCCCACTCAAGCATCCACAAGTTGAAAAGGTCTGATCATTATCCAAGTTGACATTTCTAAATATTTATGGTATTATCTTTTACTAAGGTTTGGTTTTTGTGCATTGTATTCTTCTATTATTGTGTTAGCATGTGGTGTGCTCAGCCATTATGTGAACAATTATGATGTGCTTGGCTGTTGTTTGAGGACTTTTGGTGTGAGTACTTGTTGTATACTTGGGTATTGTGTGAGCATTTATGATGTGCTTGGTAGTTGTGTGAGCACCTACAATGTGCTCACTTGGATTCAACAATTGCTAAAACTGAGAATTTAATAGAATTATAACCAAAAAAGTTGTAATCACAAGTGATGCTTAGTAGAACCAAAGAAAATCCCTTAGGAACTGGACAAAAGCTTTAGAAAGCTGAACAACTATAAAATTATGTCTCAATTGTTATCTGCCTCTTACACATTTATATATATTATATTTCACTCAATAGAAGAAAGGACAACTACTAGACAACCAACTAAAGGAAAATTAAAGAGACACTTAAAAAATGAATTCAATTGTCCCATCCCAATATTAGATTATAGGTCACACTTAGATTAAGAAGGGAAACTGAATTGACTGGAGCTAAATTTTGCCTTTTTTCAGTGATTTTTAATTTTTTTGATCCAAAATCTTGTAAATTTTATAGACCTAAATCTGGAAAAATCTAAGTTTTTTATAGTGGTTTGACTATCTACCTACCTCTAGTTTAGAAGAACATCATATTTTTAGGTTCTACTAAATCAATTGTTTAGTAATGATAACCATTGATTATTAGGATTTACTCTCAAAATTATCTTCTAGATTCACGACTCTAGAAGGCTGATCATCGATTGTATGATCAAATAGTTTGAGTGATTAAATCAGAAATTTAACCATAAGTTTTTTCACAAAAGTAAGGAAGGATTTTACTATGGGATGTTTTTCAAATATTGTCATTGACTCAAAGTACATTTAGAAATTCAATGAGAAGGATGATAAATTTGACTTTATTTGATTTTTCTTATTCATGTGGGGAAGTATTTTATTGTAAAACTCTTTAGAACTTAAATTACGTTAAGAGTTAAATCAAATGAATTTCACTCTTCAACTTGGTCTCCTCTCATTGTTTAACCAACATTTGAAGACTGACGTTCTCATTTATTTCTCTGCAGAAATTGTCAGCAAGAATCTCAGGATGGTAGAGAGGTCAGAGATGATCATTTATAACTAACTAGCCACTAGAGAGTTAATAAATTTATATTAAATTTAGATTAAAATCCCTATTTTGTTTAAATTCTCAGGATTAAAATCCTAAAATTTGTTAGGAAGACATTTAAGAGTTCAAATATCCTCTAAGATAAATCAGTATACATGACCATTTGCCACTAACATATATAGCTAAGGCTTATCAATTCAAATAAGTTTGATATGAATACCTTATTATGAAAATAGAACTAATAAGATATTTCAAAAAAATTAATAAATTTACATTCAGGACTAATTAAATTTTGCCTCAAATAAAGCATGAATGCCAAATTGGCGTAGTAAACATGACATTAATATATTCAAAACAAATTTTCGGTTAATATTCATCAATATTCTAAAATTTTGGAGCAGGAATGTAAATAGTTCAGACTGAATCAATTAATTTGATATAATAAAATATTTGTAAGTAATAATTTTTGATTTTGAGCATCTAATAGACAAAGTAAGCTTTCATGCCATATTTTATTTTAATTATTTTCATTGATTATGATGTGTTTATCATTATTTTATGTCAATTATAGTTTTTATAAATATTAATACTTCCAATTTTGATGACTAAAGTAATAATTTCGAGTAATCAAATTAACAAAAACTTGGAATTCAAAATCATGAGACTTAAATTCATTCTTGGAGTTCCTTTTTAGATATTGAATCTTATTGATTTAAATTATTTAAAATTTTTAATTAAATTCATGCTCATGTCTAAAAGAATATTTATTAATATTTCATGTACAGTGAAAATGAACATAATTTGATCTATTTAGTTATCTTATATGTTTCTCATCATTAAAATAATATTCAATCAACACCTTTGCACTCTATTCATAAGGGAGCCATTTAAGGACAATTGAACAATTTTGAGTGTTCAATGGAATTAGAGTTATTTTGAGTGTAAAATTTTACAAATCTTAAGTAGATCTGATCACTAGCTTATCATACAATTTTCTTTATGAGGGTTGATGATTCATTGTTCTCCTATGTTGGCTAGCACAAATTATCCTTATTAGAAAGCTATAATGACTATTTTCATTCAATCATTTGATGATGATGCTTGGAATCTAATAGATAATGGAGCATACAAATTTAACACCTAAGGTTATTAAACACTAAAGTCATCAACATACGTCGTTGATTTGTTGATGTAAATGAGCTCAGGAGAAGTTCAGCACACGCAGTGATCATGTATTATTCCTCATGTTTTAATGCTTGAAAATTTAATATATTTATTGTTAAATCTTTTAAGTAAATTTTAGGATCAATTTAAGTTCAGTTCGATCCTCAAGGATACTGAGAATTAGTTTAGTAGGTTTCTGATTTTATAATGAGGAAGATGATTCAAAAGAAAAGAATACAAATGAAATGGGATAAGATGAATGATAATACCTTCTCTTCGTTACTTACAATCTTCATTTACCAACTATTTTCATATGTTTGTTTCTCTTAATATTTTCAAACAAGATGAAGGATGGTTTCAGGGATTAAATAATGAATCGAAGAAAATACTTTAAAAGTTATGACGTAGAAATATGAGAAGACTGATATTTAATAGAATAGATTCCATTAACTTTGAGAATATTTTCAAATATTTTAAGTGAAGATCCAAAATAAATGAATTCCAAAACTACCTTGGTTGTTAATCTAAGATAAACTAAAATAAAAAAATTCGTGATAAAAAAAT